CCTCCTTGTTTTGCTCAGGACTGCCACCTTCACAAAAGTGCTTCACAAACCAGTCACTCTAGCAGTTTTACATTAGTCCAAAGATGCAGCTACATGTATCACTGGCTGTCTTGAGCCATCCAATTCTCACCCCAACTCTGCACATGTTAACATGTTGATAATGATATTTTCTCTGGGTTCAAGTCCTGCATTATCAAGATTAACCTTCATTTTATTCTTCATTCTAATATTATATCTTCAATGTTAAATCTTCAGGGATCTCTCATAATTTCCTTAACCCTCAATTTAGTAAATGCTACTTATTCATGCCCTTTTATTCTATTCAGTTCTTTTAAGAATATCTATTCTTACCTAGAATTGTCAAGGAAACCACTACCTCTGGCTTAAACAACATCCCCAGAGTTTGAAAGAGCAGTGTTATTAGATGGAAGAGTGCGAATTGTATTTTAATTCTCTTCCTCAATTACATTAAACTATGTAGGATCTCTCTTTTGCTTAGTGCATCCTTTAAATTAGAAAGTTAAATAGAAAAGGACTCTTCTCTTTTTTTTTTTTTTCATTACTAGTTTCCTAGTTTCCTGATAATTAAGCATATATTGACTTCTTTTCAAAAACCATGAAAGGTTTGAAGTGAAGTCTCTAGATCACTGCATCCAGAATACATCCCAACCTGTATCAATTATTATTTTAATTATTATTTTATTTAAAATGCCAGTTCAAGGTTGCTTTTCTTTTCACTTTGTAGTCAGAACAATGATGGCACTTGACAAGAGAATAATTATTCTGAGAGTTCCTCCTTCCTTTGCCCTATAGAGACATTTCCCCTTCCTGCCCACCTGCTGGAAAAGAGTATTTTTCCTTTAAAACAAAACCAAAAGACATTTGTCAGTTAACAATTTTTGAAATCCAGGGAATGGATCAAATATACTGAATACATCTAATTTAAAATTGTAAATGAGTGGAAATACAATGTATAAATGATTATAATGTTATCAGTTTTGTCTCAGACATAAATCATCTTGCTTAATTTCATAGTTGTTAAAAGTGATAGCACACGGAGACTTCAGCCCAAAGTTAGGCCTTCATTTCTCTGCACTCTCTTTGCTGTTAAAGTACAGGTGTTTTGTTGTTGTTGTTGTTGTTGTTGTTGTTGTTTTTCACAAAGAAATTATAATATGCAAACTGTACAAGATTACTAACAGAAACAAAGACTAAATGGAAAGCACAAAATTTTAGTTAGTTGGTGACAATTTCTCCATGACATATATATTTGTAGTGTTTTTATACAGGGGAAACTGGTGAATAATATTTTTCTACTTATGGCTTAAGTGTAAATTGTGACCTCTAAAACTGGAGGACAGAGTGTGTCACAATGCAAAGCAAAAGCTGAGACTAGTCTGTTTAGGAATTTTATCTTCTATTCACCTACCCTTTTCCTCTAGGCATTAGGCCCTAGCTTAACCTCGAGTCTATTAATCTATCAAACTTTCAAACTACTAACTTTCATACTCTTTCTAGCATTCTAGCAAGATTTAAGGGTTTGAAAGTAGTGTCTGACTTGACTTTTAGATGTCATTATAGAAAGAGATGTTGTAGTCAGGAATAGTCTCTTTGGCTTCCCCAACACCATCTTTCTCCATTTTTATTTTATTTTTTTCTTGTTATTATTTTTTCTGCTTAAGTTAAGCATGAGAGGTTAAGAGCATCTAAAGTGTGAAGATTTTCACTTGTTTTTCTGTCCTCTTGGGTTTTATTAAACCATAACTGATTTAGACTTTAGTAAACATCAATACTCCAAACGTTTTGCGGAAGGGGGAAAAAATGCATGTATATCTTTGTAAAAACACTAAACGAGGCAAGAAAAGTGACAGACATCCCATCAGGCAGTATAATTAATACCTATCACTTCTGCAATGTCCTCAGCTATACGTTTTTCTTTTGTACTTTCTCCAATCCTCCACTTGAGTGAATAAGATTATCTACACCTACACCCACAGATGGAACATAATGTAATTATAGACTTTCTCTTTCAAATTTAATATCGGGTAACATGTGTGTTCCAGAGATGGAGCCTGGCTTTGATTACCTGTAAACATGGGCATTTTCTTAAGCTTAAGACAAGAATATTTTTCACATCCTGACCTAAGCTGAAGCCCGCTTGGAGTGAATCACAGAACTACTTACTGAGCATTGAGAAATGGCAGGATTGACAAGTAATTGTAGCAGTTTCTTTCATTTTCTTTCACTGATAATGCAATAGCTAAAGACTAAAATGAAGCTCCTGCAGCTGCCCAGGGAAAACAAAAAGAAATCTAAGTATGGAGTTAAAGAAAGACTTGGGTATTTATATTTTACCATTTACTTTCTTTCAATCTCTGGTGAGACAGCTTGTTCACAAAATAATGTTTCTTGTTTCATTGGCTTTGTAGTGCTAGACTTTTGTACAAGTGGGAGGGGAAAGTGAAATTCAAATTAGAAAAAAAAAATATTAAAGAAAGGGTATACTCTAATAATTTTACTGCTAGCCATGGTAGGATTACAAATAAAATTGCTTCTGTGTAGCCATCATCAACTGCTGTAATTTAAAATCAAAAGTCAGTAATGATGTGTTTTTTATATTACTAGCACTTACACTGATGAGCATATGTGTGTATTGTGGATGAGTGAGTACATAAGCTGGCATTCTGACCACCAACAGACATACCAGCAATCATCCTAATAGGATAAACAGATACCTGAAATAGGAAGAAAACATAGCTTGGCCTCCCTAAATAATTATGCTTCTTCTTCCAGGACAGCCACTCTTCCAGTGGGCCTACAGTGGGATGTGCTTGTTTGGACAAAATGCAGTAATAGCAACCAAACACTTCCTCCTAGGCCTGTGCTTTGAGTCTGAATTGCCAAGATGAGTGAGAGGATACACATGTATGCTGTGTCTGGCCCTAGGAGCTGAATCTGTTGTGCCAGTGCAGCCTCATGAGATGGGTATGAAAATTCAAAGTTCTGAATCTAATGAGGGTGGGCCTCTTAGGTCCCAGTTTCAGTCTGCTCACTCTTGTTTTGCCTTCAGAAACACTTAGAAGTTTCAGATATATCACAGTCATTATGTATCATCCATTCCATCACCTTGTGCTCTCCTCCAAAACCAGGCAATCTTGAAAAAATAGGTCATTTTTTTGCAAGGAGATCTTCTGGTAAAAATGGAGTCTGAAATGAGCTGCTCATGAACAGGAGATAAAAGCTCTTCTTCTAACATAATTTGGTGATACATATTGTTTGGTGATGGTAAAATTCAGAACAGACTTAACAGAATTTATACGTAACATAGCATATAACATAAATATAATGCAGTAAAGGAAACTGTAATCAGGGCAGCACTCCACTTCATACTACATTAAAATAAGGAATAATGAAAGCTCTTTGATGGTGCAATCATGCATGTTTCACGTTTCTTTACATATCTGAGCTACAGAGGCCAGGATTTTTAACAAATTAACATAAAAAAAGAAAAAGCAACAACCACATCCAACAACAAAAATAACCAGCTTACATTCATACTGAAGAATACACCAGAAGTTATGGAGTACCAGCTAGGGTACTAATATAAATATGAATAAATAACCCTGTTATCAAACAAGGTAACTTTTCATTGTCCTAGTCCGTAATATATTTCAAATGAAGGGTTGCAGTTTTGATGGGCTTTTCTCCCTTTTCCTTTCTATGGGAAGATTTAAGATGGCCATACAACTCTTAAACTACAAAACAGCAATTTGCAATTGATTGCTTGGTACTATGTTTTCTTGTCTTTATGCTGTTGAGTTTTGTTAACTTTTGTTATGTACTTTATTTCTTATATAATTTTTATAAGTATTTTTTTCAAACATAATAGTGGTAGTTAAAAGGAATAAACATATTATAAGAACTGTTACATAGTAGTAGTACACCTGATAGTTCCACAAGGACAGGGGGAAAAGTAATATTTTCATTAATCGCACACACAGAAATAGTTTCATCGGAATATTTACTTTAAAATAACATTCTAATAGCACAGTAAATCCTCAAATCCTGATAAAACATCATTTCCAAACTGATTCAGAGTTTTTACTAAACTGAAATAGCACGTGGATTTTGATCTACTGAGGTTTACACAAAGGATTTAGAACTGGTTGGTTCAAAACACACAGGAAAGAAGGAGGAGAAACACCTTTCTTCCCTCCCTAACCTCTTTATGAATATGTATGTACACAGATGGTACCTTAGGAAGTTTACCGTGTACCTAGAATTTTACTTATTACAAATTGCATTGTCTATGAGATGTTCCTTGGTTTATTTACTATCAGAAATATTGTAAAAGCTGTCTGGGTTAGCCTGTAAAAAATTCTCCAAGAAATCAGCTTTGAAGTATGTAGCTGCTACTCTTCTCCTGTCCCTCCAGGGTAGCAGTAGCAAGGGTCAGAACCTTCACAGGTGCACTCATCCCTTGCAGAGACTCCAAGAGAAAGTGCTCTGATTCTTTGTGTTAGATACTCTGTACTTGAGAAGCTGGAAGGGTGAGACACAGTGGGATCTGATAGAAGACAGATCAAAACACATGAGAAAGGAACATACAGTCAATATGTATTAGGGATAAAGAAACCAGATTTTTTTTTTTATTATTATTCTATCCATATCAAATCACCTTTTTTTTTTTTTTTTTTAATGATAAGTAGGGCTCTGAAATATATATTTACAGTATAGTCCTGTTGACATCACTAGAAACAGGATTAAGCTTTAATCCTGAGTAAATGGATTTAAAGCACCTGGGTCACATTCATAATCATAGAAAGGCCACTAACCAAACACTCCAGTTTGGTTTCAACACAATAGCCACCTGATACTCTAAATTCCTTAAATATGGTAACACATCTGTCAAGAATTAAACCCTGATCTGGTAGAGAATTGTGTTAAGTAACTGTAACATCTGAGCTTCATTTAAATTCCTTAGGCTCACAGGTGTCTATTGAAGCTAAATGGTGAATGCCTTAGTTTCTGTGATTGTTTGTTCTCCCTGAATCAGCGTGTGGATTGTGTGGGTTATTTTAGGTATGAAGTATTTAGCTGGAAGTATTTTTATTGAGATAGGTGGAGGTATGTGTTGGTGTAAGCAGACTATGAATTCTTGAAGGTAGTAAAATTTCATCAAATTTCCTAAGGGTTTTTATTAATTCTTGTGATATTAATAGGGTGAAGTAGTTGTGAATATCTTTATTTCTCATGCGTGTTCTTGTTTTAAAATGTGGATGTCTTACTGATACCTTTCTTATGGATTTGCTTTGTCTGTCCTCTGAAGATACTCATAGTGATCCTCATAGTACAGAAATAAAGATTATTGTATTGTAGTAAGCTTAAGAGCTCTTTAGTTTATATTAAAAAAAAAAAAAAAAACAAAAAAAAAACTGTGGGACTTTTGTTTATTTCTCAGCTTTCTCAGAGTTCAGATCAACCTATTAAATACCCTTCTAAATATAGCAAATACTTTGTATATCAATATCTCCATTTCTGTTTAGTTTTCTTTACATCAGATGTTGTTGAAAGCAATATGCTATCCTTTAATGTTGCAACTCTCACTTTATATCTTTATTTCCTTGATCACTGCTAACTCTGGGATCTTTTCTGTACCTCCTCCCTAATTTACTTCTTACTTATTTATTTATTTATTTCCAGATAATCTTCTTCCCTAAAGAAGCGGGGAGAGATGAGGGGTGGGGAGAAGAGGAATACTTTTGTATTTTAGCTTACTATTAGATGGGCTTTATTCCTACTCTTTATGCTGCCTTAATTTTAAAGGTAACAATTAACGTAATAGAAACTTTTCTAGGTTGCTATGATTCTATAATGTTTATAACATGGCAGTATTTCCTTGTTAATCTATAGCTCATATTAATTTCAGAAGCCAGACTCAATTCTGCTTTAAGATTTCTCTTACGGAACTTGGTCTGTGTGTTTACAAAATCTTAGCCAGGTAACTTCCCTAAAATTGCTAGGAATAGGTAGCTTACTATGATGTTTGTGGCAGTTGTTGTGGGTGTGGTTGTGTTTCTTAGTTAGCATGAACTTTTGTATAATGAATGTAATAACTACTGTGCAAGGGCAAAACACGTAGCTGGGATATTTTTCTTTACTGAAGGCAGACAGAAAACTTGCTGTCTGAGTCAGTGGGTGGAGGTCAGAACAACATCTGCTTTATCCACAGGAGTACAGCCTTTTACAGCTTGCTGTTGTTCAGTGAATCAATTGAGCATGTAATAAGAGCTCCAATATAGACAAGATGCATGGAACATATTGATTAGAGCCTAAGTAAATCTGACTACAGAGCATGTGCAGAGGCTCGTTGTACCCCAGGCAATTTTCTGCCTGTGGTACAGGTAGTAGCAGCAGCTTTTCAACAATATATGTGTTTTGTGTTTTTTTAATAATAAAAAAATAACGAAGTCTTTATCTGATAAATGATGTTTGTCTCAGATTGCTCTAAATCTGCAAGTATAAAAGATCTGCATTTCCCTAACTGAATATGTGATTCTGGGTACTTCCATTTTATGGCAGTCAGATATGGGAAAATGTTCATCTCATGAATGTTAAATGATGTGAATTGAGGTAGACTTTGAATTACTTTCTCTGTAGTAAATTTATAAATGCCTTTTATTTTTGTCTTCACCTAAACTGAAGGAGCAAGCTCTATGTTATTTATTTCTTTGTAGTTTCTTATTTGGGCTTTGTTGGGGGGAATGATGCATTGCAAGTTATGAAAGCCATTTTGAGGTAATTCGCATTAAAACTATCAGCAGCTGAGAAATTCTGCTCTGAATTAACTGTATGTGCCAAATATTCTTACATTATTACCTAATTACCAAAAGTTTTGCTGTTTTAACAGAAAAGGCATTCTTTAAACACAGTACTTGGAAGTCCATGTCAATTTTGCTGAGAAATCTGAAGGCAGGCTTTTTTTTTTTTTTTTTTTCCTAATAATATATTTAAGTAAATCAGGTCTTCTACTTTTTATGGTGACTCAAGGCACCTCTTTCCTTATACAAAAAAATATGTATGAAATAGCTGACTAGGTAGATGTTCTTTTTCAACTGGCATTAACATTAATTACATGTGCAAAACTATATTATAAGGTAGGTGTGTAATAGCTCCAGTACTGATTTCGCTATTGTTAACTGAAATAATAATCTGTTCTTAAAGTTTCTTCTTTGTTCATATTTCTGCACAACTATTCCTTCTTTTAAATTTAATTCTGGTTAGGAAAACACTGTCTTAAGGACTTAATAGCTGAAATTCTCCAATGTCTTCAAAAACGTGGAAGTCTAAATTCAAAATTACTCTGACCATTTTTTTTCTTCCTGTGTAAGTAGACGCCTAAACACATGGAAATACACACTTGCTGTTATAGAAGTTCTACTCCAGCTGGTAGTATCTCCATAGTCTCACAAATCCCAATCTGAATTTTATTGATTGTCTGAATGATCTTCTGAGAAATTTGCCCAATGTGGGTTTTGATTCATTCCTCTTCTTGTTCTTACTCTGTATTAGTCTTCCTTCTAAGTCCAGAGTAAAAAGCAGCTTTTTTTTTGTTTTTTTTATTGCATTGTACATTCTGTTGAAACTAAAGGATATTTTGGAGTGGGTGGGGTGAAGGTGTATGACTAGGTAAGAATACACTAAGAAAAGAGCAGATGTAACTTTTGAAATGTGTGTCTGATTGCATAGATGATAAAATTCCTAAATAATTTTGGGAATTAAATAGATCATCTCTGTACTTTAAGAGAACTGGTTTTAGCAAAGTTTCTCTGGAACCTTCTGAGTGCTGAACTGACATCTTTTTCCATCTCTCCACTTTTTTTCTTCTGTTCCCAGGGGTGAGAGGAACCCAATGTTTTTGGGGTGGTTCCTTCATGTGTATGTAACATCTCATTAAGCAGGCTGAAGTTGGAACATCACATAGCTACTGACTGTAAATTTGTAAGTTAATATAGCAGTGGCAAATCAAAAATCTGGGGGGGCTAGAAGATAACCATATATCATGTATGCCTCAGAAGCACATAGAAATACTAATGTTGTTTTTCTAAGAAAATGTATATAGAAGATATAGAATGCAACAGCCTGACAACTTAATGATCTTCTAGTTCACATTTTTTAAGGATATGATATGAATGAGCTTTTATAATCAATTTGAATTTGTCAACACTGTTAATGAAAATGTTAATGGCTTGTTAGCTGTTGACTAATGATAGTGGAGGTTTTCATGCCTTACTTAATGGTGGTATGGAATGTAAGAAATCATGATTTATAGCCTGCAAATGGAATAACTGAGTAAGCTTTTCTGATCAGAGAACTCCCTGAGCTTACCTCATAACGGTGCTGTACTGCACAAGGAGTGATATTGATGAATAGTTTTATGACTCATTTGGTAAGATCTATGAAGGCAGTTACTTCATAAGGTGGCATTTTATCACAGTTGCTTTCGACCTGCTGCAGTTGACTCATTGATTAGAGTTAGTCGGGGGAAGCAAATGCTAGAGACTTACTAGTGAAACTGCTGATAGTTTTATCTCTTTTTTTTAAATACCCTATTTCTGACAATGTGCCAATGATTGCTCTATGTATGCCTAATTATTCTGTCATTAGATGAGGTTTTGTAATTCTGTTTGGAGTGGCAAAGTCTGAGTTTAATATTAGCAGATGCTGTTTTTCTTTCTCTTTTTTTTTTTTTTTCTTTTGCCAGGCCTACTTTGCAATGCCTTCTGGATTTTTGATTGAAGAAATTGAACTTTGAATCTATACACATTCATGCATCATTTAGTTAGCTTGCAGAACTCAGCTCCAATTAAAATTCTGAGCTGAGAGGAAGAGAGATCTGTGAAGACCCCTTTCCTGAAGAAATAATACAGGTTTAAATGCTGTTTTGTGGATGGGGTTTAGGACTATTGGTAAGATGAGCAGTTTGAATGAACTACTCCTTGCTTTCAGAACTGCATCTTATTAAATTTGGACTTCATTCTTTAAATACTTGACACACTAAAGAATTCTTTTGATCCATGTTTGGCCTTGTTTTTAACGCTCAGTGATCAGTAGTTGTGCTGATATCTGCTCATATCTGCTTCTCAGCTCTACATAGTTTCTGAGTCTACTTTTGCCTTTGATTGGGAAGATAACTTGTTCTCATTTCAATGCCTTATTTCAAAATAGTGTTGTGTAGCTTGTATGGAAAATGTAGTACTACATTTGTTCTAGGATCTGTCTAAATTTTTGCACTTAATGCACGGTTTACCATAAACAAGTAATAAATCAAATTATGGTTATTTAATATTAGTAGTAGGAAAAATTAATGCAGTTACAGAAACTTTTTTTATTCCTCACAGCTTCTTTTCCTATCAAGCTTCTTAAACTCCTGTTTTCTGAAAAGTATGTGTTATATATTTTGAAGATAGGTTAACAATTTGAAGTAATTTTCATATACTTGTCTGCTCTTACCAAAGTGTTTTCCAAGTGGATTTAATTTTCAAGATTTTTATATCAACCACAAATGGAGGACGATTATTTTATTTAATTGATTTATAATGAAGTTAGCATGGGTTTCTTGTCTAGAAGGACTGGAAATGGGTGTATGAAATATTAACACACACAACTAGTCTATTGTTGGATAGTCCCAAACTATTTCAGTCTATCTGTGTGGAGAGAACAGGTAGCTAGGTAGACAACATAAGGCATAATTTCACAAACAAATTCATGAGTTCTTTGATAGCTTTGTTCTTTTCAAAACCATGCAAAGAATGAATGGGATTTTTCTCCATCTCTCACTTGCAAATTCCTAGCTTAATGTGCCTGTATAAATGGTGGATTTCTGAACTGAATCTGAAGCTTATTTCTTGGTTCTTATGTACAAGGAGGATCTAAATCCAGAAGATACCTCTTTATAGGACTTGTCCAATAAAGTCCAAAAAGACTTGCATTTACTTCAGGAACAGTGTTTGTTAGGGGAAATAAGTACCCACATTCAATCAGTACGTCCAGAACCTTTCTCTGGAATTCAGAAACGTGAATAGTTCTGTTTCTATTACTCGGAAATGATGATTATAAACACATCAGCAAAATGCTGAATTCTATTATCCATTTGTCTGTCTTCTAAACTTGTGATGTTCTGGAGGATTGAAAAACAAAGCAGTGAACGTGACTGTTCATAGCAAATTGTTACCAAAAGTACTCTATTAAAGAACTGATTTGTTCTTTTTCCTATGGGGTTTAGATTTCAGTTTACAAAGTTGTGCAGAAGTAGCTGGTTGGATATCGAAGAATTTAGATTTAAAAAGTCTATGAACAGATACTGTAAACATATGGGAATAGAGGCTGAAAGAAAAAAATCTTTTTATAACAAGAGCTGCCTTTTTAAAAACTGGTCAGTGTTGTAAAATGGCTGATGATAAAAATAAAATAAAAACTTGATGTAGCTGGTCCCTTGCTGTTGCACACTTTACTTTGCACTATTACTCTTGAAGTACACTCCTAAATAGACATTAGGCACAGGAAAAGCTCTTTAAGTTCTGGTTAAAATCTTGTTTTAACAATATTCCACACTTGGGCATATTGTTTCATTTTCTATTCATAATATATTGACTAATAGCCATAACCAATACTTATACTACAGCATGGAATAGTCTCTGCGTTTGTCTGGAGGTATTACATGGTATTATGACTGGAAGAAGGTTAAGCTATTCTCTGAATGCTTTTGTAAGTTTTCTAGAGCACATTTGGAAAGGAGTGGGGATGGTGTGGTTGTGGGTGTTTTTTGTGTGACAATGCAAAGGATGGGGGGGAGGGTGTGACAAGGGGTTTGTTGAACAGAAGTGCCCGTTGATCCACTGGAGGTTGACCTGTACTATGCTTCTATTAGAATGACTCTCACTGGTTTTTAGAACTGCCCTGTTGTCCTTTATTTTCTGTAATGAGAGCTTTCTGTCTCCTTGGAGCTTCTGATTCTCATGTTATGTTTCCAAGCCTCAGTTACATGGGGTAGCTACGAGTCTAGGAAAGCTGAAAAAGACAGACAAAACTTGTTTCAGACATGTTGTACACCATCCCTTGTTTGAGAGCCACTGTCTCAGCATGAAGAATGATCTCAAGTGAGGACAGCTGAGCCATTTGTAAAAAGAACCTAACTTTGATGCAATCCAAATAATAATTGGACTACTCTGGAAAAGCAAAACACCAGGTGTTTGACGGTTCCTGCTGAATCATTGAAAGCATACAGGAACGAAGGAAGGCAGAGGCTTGATGAATTAATTCTGCTGTTTTTGGGGGGAAGAGTATAGGGAAATAACTAAGAAATTAAATCAGATGTGTGCCTAAACATGATTTCTCTTGTTACCTTGCAAAGTACTTCTATTTTAAAGGTCAATACTTTTAATATTTTCATTCTTAGTTTTTCTTCTCATAGAGGAGATACAGTCAAGGATTCCAACATACTAGATCCATATGGAACAACAACTTGAAGTTAATCAACTAATCAGAACAGGTTGGAGAGTATCTGAATATACAGTTTTATCTTAAAATCTGATAAGTCTCAAAGCCTAGATAAAATTGCCTAGCTGTTAAGAAAGAATAGAATCTTAAAACGTATAACTGAACTTCAGAAATATAACCTGTTTGATAAATATTTCTTTCGAAGATCCATACTTTAAACTTATGGTTTGTTACCTACTTGTAGAATGCTTTCTGATTGGTGTGGTGTTTCTTTCCATCTGGGTAGTAATTTTTCCCAAGTCCAAATGATTAATGGACTTTTGGCTCAACTTCATTATTTAGGGGTATCCTCAATGTATTAATGATTTCCATGGGAGGATCACAGAACAGTTATTAGATAAGGTTGTCATTGGAAAGCATTGACTTTAAACTCTTGAGCCTAATAACATGTTGTCATCCTCTTGCAAAAGGGTGCTGCTAAATAGTAACAAGTTTAGCAGTTGATATGACAATTGATTATCATAGAAAATCACTTACTCTGGTAGATGAGGCAAAATCATACCAGTTACAATAGTGGTAAACTGAAAATATTCTTATTTGTCACTTCTAAGCTGTAGCACATTTAGGGTTTCCTAGCACCATTTGAAATTGCAGGATAAGCAAAAGCAACCGGTTTGGAATAGTGGAATGTGCTGGAGACACCCTGCCCTCTCCTTGGTAGAATGTAGGTGTGTGATTGAATGCATGTACAGGCAGATGTGAAGATCAACAGGCTTCTGTCAGTTTGTGACATCTAGCCCTATATGAGGCTATTGTGTTGTTGGGTTTTGCAGCAAGGAAACGAAAGTGCCTGTTCCAGCAGAGTGTACAAAATAAACCTTTGCAAGAGCACAACAGGGTGTTTCCACAAGCTGAAAAATGTGGCGGTGGTGGGGAGTCTCATTGTATCTTCTTTTCTCCCCTTTGACCGTTGTGCTATGTATTTATAAAAACAAAATAAGCTCACAGATAATCTTTTTTTTTTTTTTTTTGGAAGTTGGCTTTTACAAAATCAGAGACTGTCAACCAATATCTTTTAAAATACAGCTTATTCTGAGCTGCCTGTGTTGGATACCATCAGAGTTAAAACTTATGGCAAGTAAATAAAAACATAAAACTGATGAACCTGAGAATAAAAGGGGTTGCATGCTGTATTAAGTTAGTCAGTGCAGCAGTAAAATACCAAAGCATGTTGAAGAGATCCCTACTGATATAAAGCTGAAAATGAATTGCTCATAACGGTATCACAAGGAGGCAGAGAGGTTAGTCCTATGCACTACATCTATATTTCACTTATAACTTGACTGTATGGTTATTTAATTTTTCGTTGGGGAACATAAGAAAAGGTGTGAAGCTATCTTTATTTAGAGATTTGAGTGCTTAACCTATTCTCTGTACTTGTTGCTCAGAAATAAACTGTGCCTGGAGTAAAGGAATGTGGCTCACCAGATCATACGTACTGT